ATGAATGAATGGATGAATGAATGAATGAACGAAAAAAATACAACAAAACAATTTCGTTAATTCTTCTTATTTTTTATTTGATTGCCTTTTTGATAATAGTTGTTTCTTCTAGTGTTTTTCCATCTTCGGTGTATTCCAATTATGCATGAAGTACTGATGTCACATGAACGTATAGCTTTACAAATTGTACTGATTTTGTACGCTTCTAACATCAGAAATGACAATGATCTAATTAAATTATCATGGCGTAAATTATTGTTGCAAAATATAATATACGGCATTAACACTGACAGATTTTAACAAACCGAAAATGATTCGTGTCCAATTATATTGAACATTTCCACGAGTACTTCCTGCCTTGATCACCTCTCGCCAACTCATTGTCACCTTTCTATTTGTGAAACTCCTTCTATTCGATTCTGATTGGTCATTACTTGCACAAAAATCAACGAAAATGAACAATGTTTGTAATCATTATAAACCAATGAATCCAAGCGATCACTTTAATTGGCTTCATCATTGGCAAGAAGCGGTTGGATTTATCTTTCATTAGAAAAAAAGCAGCCCTCTAGAGCACGGTCCTTGTTTTACTGACCATCTTTATGGTATTCCACAATGCAGTACATTGGGACCGTTGGTGGATTGCTTTCTCTATGTAATTTTAGGAAATTTTTGTTGACTATGGTATTAATTTCACTGGCTATGATGCCAAGCTACACGAGTGCAGCAGCTCACAAAATCAGGTAAATTCGTTGAAATATTAACCAGAAGTGTAACAGATTAACTTTTTAGTTCAAGTAATTTAAACTCAGAATTTTGCGTGTTCAAAAGTTTTTTTTAAAGCTTCATGGAAAAATGAGCTGAGAGCTGAGAATATAGAGTATTTGAATGTAGTAAGGAGTGTGTATGGAGGATACATGGCCTCACAAGCTTTTAGCTTTAAAGCCTACCGTGTGTAAAAACACATAAAAAATAGTTTTATTTTATTTTAAATATGGGAATGAAAAACATTTTATAGAAAATTTGAAGAAAAAAAACGAAAAAAGAGAAGAAATATGTAGTTGTTTATTAAGGACCTCAGCAAAAAATCCATCGTATCGAAATAACTAGTGATCACTGAATTAGTAGTAATTACCAACGATTTATTTTACTAAAAGATATATGATGATTTATAAGCGATTCGTATTTTTCAGAATCCAAATCTTAACTTTTTCTATGACTGAAACTACTTTTTTTTTAACGAGCTTGGGAAATTCGCAACAACAAAATTTGAGTTAGATAAGATGAGAGAAAAAGTTGAATACTTGTTTACATTACAATGGGCAATTAGCATGCTAGAAAGCAAATATGGCAGGGATCGATGGTTCGTTAAATCAGAAGTGCACTACAAACTTCCTAGCGAAGCAAAGAAAGAAGAAAAGCGGGAATAGAAAAGGAAGAAATAAATAAATAAAATAAAAAAGAAAGAGAAAAATAAGAAAAGAAACTCAAAAAGAAAGAAAGAAAGAAAGAAAGAAAGAAAGAAAGAAAGAAAGAAAGAAAGAAAAAATAAGGAAGAAAAGAAAGAATATGAATAGGTAGATTATTTAAGAGAGAATGAATGAAAGAAAGAAAGAAAGAACAAAGAATCAAAATTTCTGAATCACAAATTACAAAACTACAAATTCAAAGTTCAAAACAACCAGTATTAGGACCGATGTATGTAATCACATTTTTCGTCATACACTGCAAGCCTTTGGTCTTATTCAGACGTTTAAAGAAAACCTAACCTTATACTTTTTACATTTTGAGTTAAACTTGGGCCTGTGAATTGGACAGCATTTGTTTTCATTACGTGGTGTTTAATCGCATTCTTATCGTTCTAAATGGGTTTTGAGTAAATGCTAGAAAAAGCAAACACGTATTATTAGTGCCAATTATTCTTATCTTTAGTGTTAATGATGGCATGAGAGATAAGTGCCTGTTGGTCACGTGAACATTGGCCTTGACTAGAACACGGTCTTCTCTCGATTCTAATCAAGGCAACACTCGGTATTTTATCGTTTGGGTTTTAGCACTAGTTCTACGACATATAGCAAGCAATTACTACCGATGAGTTTGAGCAATATGATATTATAAAATTATCAAGACGAAGGCTGTGTTATCTGCCGATAAGCCGTGGGCAGAAGTGAATAAAACAGTCTTGATGTCATGCGAAAAAATGAATTCAATAATTGCATTAGTATACAGTTTAATAATTCAGTTCACGTTCATCAGGTCTAAAGATGGTTCAACCTCATCGTCCAACAAAGGACATTTTTGCCCAAAAACCAAAGAAAAAACAGAGAGCGCTGTTGAAAAGTACGATCACGTGACAACTAATCTGGTCCGAATCAAATGTTCACAACAGGACCCCTCACGGGACAAGTTTCTTGCCAGGGAAGCCTACGACACGACAATGTGTATATTTAGCCGGTTAGTTTTGCCAAGGTGTTTGTGGAGGTTTATTGTGGTGGCCCCTTGCCTTCTAAATTGTAAATATATGAACTGCCCTACGCTATACTATCCATTCATCCCCCTCCAAAAAAAATGGCCAAAGTACTCGCACTATTTCCTACCTTTCTATCGAACAATTTATAACCAGGATCATATCAAACCGCCCTTAATTTCTCCCTATCGTGTATACCTGTGTCGATAAATGACTCAGTACTAATGTATTCCTCACTTTACACTTTACGAGTAAACGAAATGGTAATTCAGTAAAATACGGGTATATTTTTAGAAATTGAATCCAGCCAGACTGTTCTAGCTTGTTTACTTGTTTGTTTGTTGTTGTCTTCTATGTTTAGTCATGTTATTGTGTTTTTTGTGGTTTGTTGTAACTGTTGTTGTTGTTTCTTGTTTGTATCATTTTGCACTCCATTTAGTATTTTCACACCATTTGATTGACTCTTCTGGGGGTTTTCTCCAGTTTTTGTTTTTGTTCGTTTTTTTTTTTTTTTTTTT